AGAACTATTCCTCAAAACGAAAGAAAGTCAAAAAATGACATGTTTACAACAATCAAACACCATTGGGAAGAAATTGACATTAATTTCATTCAGAAATTAGTACTTTCGATACCAAAACGCTTGCAAGCAGTTATCGATGCTAAAGGCGGACCAACAAATTATTAAATGGATTGCATTTGCGCTAAAATAACAAAACTATTTTGTTTAAACTTGTGTTCTTGTCTCTGTCAACAAACTTTTAAGCAGCACCTTTTTGCGTTTTACCTAATTTTTTATCTTCTAACGATAATCGACTGCTGTTCTATTTTTATTTCAAACATTCTTTTTGCTTTCTATTAAACTGAATAATTTTTACCCATAAATATCTTCTCATTCATAAAATAATACTTAAATATTCACTTTTTTTAAATCAACTGACTTTTGAGCGTCACTGTATATACATACATATATATATATATATATATATATATATATATATATATATATATATATATATATATATATATATATATATATATATATATATACATATATATATACATATATATATATATATATATATATATATATATATATATATATATATATATATATACATATATATATATATATATATACATATATATATATATATATATATATATATATATATATATATACATATATATATATATATACATACATATACATATATATATATATATATATATATATATATATATATATATATATATATATATATATATATATATATATATATATATTCTGACCACAAATGATATAAGAATAAAATGTTTACAAAATGTATTAACATTATGTAAACCCAAAAAAAAAAAATAATAATAATATGAAACAGTGAAAAAATTATTCTACCTGTTCTTCATTCAATTTTTGATGGTGTTGCTTGGATAACATCATACTCTTTTCATGATTTCTTTGTTTCATTTGTTCTTTTTGTAATGCATGTGTACTACGAAGTTCATTTATCAACTCTTTTCGTCGCTCTTTTTCAGCAAACATCTATGTTATAAAAATTTAATATAAGTAACAAGCAATCTATAAAAATTATCCATCAACATACAGTCCCGAATCAAATTATTAGCCTACTTTATAAATTTTTTTAAACTTCGACTAATTAATATTTAGGTGCCATTTAAAAGTTGGCTTGAAATGTCATTGATTTACGGAATTTGCAGATTTATGTTTTTTTGTTTATAACTTAATAATTTCAGGCTATCAACAATATAAAATTATTTTTAGGGTGCCAACTATTTTAAGGGACAAACAGCATCTTTTTAATTCATGACATTTGTGTGTTGTCATTCTGTTTTACTATGTTTTCTTTAAGTGCAGTAATATTTTTTGTTAATTATTGTGATTTAATTAAATAAGACTTAAATTATAATATACTTTGAACCATTTTTAAAAATTTAACTAGGAAGTAGGAACCTCTTTACTTACAAATGTTGCTTATGGGGTTATTAATATTACCAGAAGACCAATAAGCATTACTATATATAAGAGATATTAAGAAAATGAGAATGAGAGAAAGCAAAATAGGAAAAAAAAAAGATTTGCAAGTTTGCAAATTGAATGAAAATTAAATGATTAAATGTATTGACAATCACTGTTCAACAAGGTTTGCATGGGTTGGGCATTAGAAGTAGAAGCACAAAATTAAGCCAAGCCAAAATTAACCAAATTTTAGAGAAAAAAGCAAATGTATTGGGCAAAGATATACAGATGTAGTTTCACTGTTGATGACTGGAAATCAGGAAGTCAATGTAATACAAATTAAATTTTTTTTCTTTTTACCTCTAAGCAGATAAAAATTACAAAAAATATCAACGTGGGTTAATAAATTGATCAGGTAAGTATTCATTAACACCTTCAGTGTGTTATTGACTACTTTACATTATGTTTTAACTTTTAACAACTTTTTAAACATGTAAAATTAACTTTTATATAACAATAAAATACAAAATTAATCTTTAAAATTAGACAACCGAGACAAACGCAGTGTTGTACAATAGAACTAATAGAAATTATGAAATTTGAATGTTATATACAAAGAAAAAGAAAATTAGGCAAACTCAATTTATCTGTAAAATTCAAGATTTTTCTATTTAAATATATCAATCTTAAATAGATTACACGAACCTTTTTAACTTTATCAATACTGTATTTAAATTTAAATAAATATTCTGTAAAAAATTTCACTAACTTTTATAACACAATACTTACAATAAAAGGTTTATGATTAAAAAATTAAAATATTATTATTGTAAAATTAAGATGATTAAACTGGCAATGAAGCTGCTTATGTATTCTGTAGAATACTAAAGCAGCTAAACTTAGAAGCTGCTTATGTACTCTATAAGTTGTAGTTTTTAAGACTTATAAAAATATCTAACTCGTTAAGAACTAAATAACTCACCATAAACCTAAAGTAATTGAGTTATAAATTTCCTTACTCTTTAAATTGAAATCATGTTTAAATTGAAACTATTTGAACAGAAAAGTATCTCAAAAATTACTATTTAGTACTTATTTTTTTTTATTCACAGGTATTTACTTTAGTACATAATGGCAATGAAAATTTTTTCTAACTGCATAATGGCAGGTGCAACAAAATACTTATGTTAAACAAAAATGCTCAAGCTTAAGTTTAGTGTTTTAGCAAGGTCAACAACTAATTTTATTCAGCAAGATTGGCTACAAATGTAGTATCAGATAACAGATAGTTGTACTATCTGTTGTCTCTTTTACCACCTCAAAACATACCTTACTGTGAATACTAATACTGCCCGTATCAATCACACATGTAAAGATATTAATAATTTAGAGCAAAGTAAAAATTCTCATTGGCAGGATTGATTCTGGTAAATAAAAACTGAAGAAGTTGTATGATGAATATCAGTTGTTGAAGGTGGAGATAAAAAGTTAAGTTAAGGAGATAAAAAGTTGAAGGTGGAGATAAAAGTGGAGTATATAAAAGCTGTAGATATAAATAGATAATGTTTAAAGATAAACTGATGGAGCTATTATACTATACAGACACTGCTTAACTTTGCATGGAGAAAGTGTTACCAGTTCAAGCATGGCTGAACCATTGCTGACACAGCCAAAAATGCATTTACGTATTATAAATGGTTTTTCTCAAAACATCGCTTTGACCTAGCTTTCTTGATTGATTAAATTTGTTGACATATTAAAAAAAATCATGTTAGCAAACTTTTTTAATTTCAATTCACCTGCCCAAGCCGAAAAATTTTATTTTGTTTTATCTTTTCGTGTTAGCCAGCATTAAGCATGCTAGCCTAAATTCAGCTTTTTTTTCTTTTTTGTAAGTACATTTAATAAAAAGATTTATTTATTAAATGTATTTATGATCCTAAAAATGTTTTATTTTTTATTATTATTTGTTTATTAAATATTTTATCATTTTATTATTATGTTTTATTAAATTAGGCTGATCATAAAACCTTATTTCATCATAAATAGTTCTTTAACCGTACATTTAACATATTGTATATATTTTTATGATTCTTTATTAAATTGCTATGTTGTTTTAAGGAATGATTCTCCATTAACCTGAAATGTTGTTTAAAGATAAACTCTTTGTTGCATCATCATTCTTTGTCTTTTAAGACCATCAAAACCAAAAAATATACATTTATGTGATTCAATTTAAAAATTCTGCGAGTTAATATACTTTAATAATGATAGTCTAGAGTTTTACTTAATCTATTCGTGTAATGAACTGAGTATCGGAGCTGGTACTGGATTCAGTTCCTGTTTTAACATGCGTATAAAAAGAAACTTTTATATAAGTACAAACACAAAATTTCAAAACAAGTTAAAATTAAAAAATTATAAAAAATAAAAAAAAAAATATTTTTATTATATAAATGCTTTAAAACCAAACCATGTTTTGAATTGCTCGTCCTCGAATAATCTTCTGTAAAAATATAATTGCTAATTCTTTATCTTCCTCTTCCTAATTATTAAAAAAGTCTATCAATAGAAATTTTTACCATATTTTTATAATATATAATATAACTTTTATTATATAACTCCTAACTTAATTAGTATAATGTAATATATAGCTGGAATCAACAAAATGATTTTTTAAGGTTTGTCAGATTAGACCTTAAGATAAAAAGAGTTCAATTAAAAGCTTTGTCAACATTTTTATCGTTACTTAAAAATTTTATTTTACAGACAGTCTTTGTGAAATTAACAAAAAGTCCAAATGCAGTAAAGACAAATTTGTAGTACAAGGTGAATAGCTTTACTCATAATGCATATGTTTATTATCTATAATGTATATGTTTATTATCACCAAATGAGAAAAGAAAAAAATAGAGATAAAATTTTTGTAAAATGAAAAAATTATGCTGGATTTAACAATAGTACTTTGTGTGAACTTAAAATGTTCCCTAAAATTCATTTACTCAAAACATGTAACAGCCCTAAATTAGAATAAGAAACAAAAAGCAAATTGAAGAAGTTGTTGTTACAAATTTTGCAATTGTTTTGAAACAAAATTTAAATTTCAAAGGAGGTTTAAACCAAAGCTGAAAATTTAGAATTTGTTGTTAAAAGAAAAACTATAAGTGTTTAACAGTTTCAATTCAATATTTCTATTATGGTACACCCCTAACTATTATTCAGATTAAGAAATAAAAGCTTATATTTGTATGAAAGCTCTAAATGGGTACTAGTTGTGCGCAACAAGTTTTTTTGATTTTTTTTTTAGCTATTGAAGTTTGATTCAGATTGAATTTCAGATTTGAAAACAAATATGTTATTAAATCACAAAATATAAAAAATTTATGAACAAGCTTTAAAGGGTAACAGCAACACAGACAAAAAAAATTTATGAAAAAACTTTAAAGGGTAACAGCAACACAGACAAAAAAGAGTCAATTTAGTAACCATGAGACTCTAAGTAGAAGTCTCAAAAAAGTCAACTTTATCATCATGATCCTGTAAGTAAAAGTCTCAAAAGAGTCAACTTAATTCCATGATTCGCTGAGTAAAATTTTTAAAAAAGAAATTATACCATTCAGTCTGTTTATGCAATTTAAATTGGCATAACAGTTTTATATTTTCATTATGTTGATTAATTGTTTCCTTAGGTTGATTATTATCAATGAAAAATTATTATCAGTTTAAAGTTCTAAGTTTATTTTTTCTTTAAAGATTGTTATAGCATGTAGGAATTTCATGGTAAGAATAAAAATGTTTATGATTATAGACCATGTGATGTATTGTATAAATTGTTATTTTATTTAAACAGTCTTTTTAAATAGTGTAAACAAGAAAATAGAGTTTATGTTAAATATAATTTATTAGGAAAGTTTTTGTGATTCTATGTTAGATCATTTCATGTTAAATGAAACAAATTTGATATGAGTGATAAAAAAGAACAGCCAACAGTTTATTTCAAATATCAAGAGCACAACTGAGCCTTTTTTTCTAGCATCTCCACTTCAAAAAGGCTGCAAGCAACTACTATTAGAGTTGGAAGTTACTGGAAGAGAAAATATAAAGTTTACAGAGCAAGATAATGATTAACAGATGACTTTAAAGATTTCAAATTATATAAATCAGGAAAACAAGATGAAGGAAGCAAATTCCAAAGAACTGATATTTGAGGGGAAAAACTTGACGAATATGAATTTTTAGAGCACTTAGGAACAGTGAAAGGATGAGATTTAAATGAATGATGAATAACACGAGAATGAATTTTAGTAGATGGCACAAGAGAGGCTAGCTCTTTAGAGCAGTGCCCATTATAGTATTTATAAAAAAGAGAAAGAGAAGCAACATTAGGATGATGTGAAAATTGTTGGAGTTTGACTGCAAGAGCAGGTCCAACTATGTTTATAATGCATTTTTGCATCTTGTCTAAAAAAGAAAGGGCATCATTGGAAGATCAGCTCCAGATATGGCAACAGTATTCCGTACAAGGACAGATTTGAGATTTATAGAGATAAAGAATAAAATCTGAAGTAAGAAAGTTGGCGATAAAAAGATGCAACCTTAGCAGATGCTAATTTTGCAATCTATTTGATATATGGTTTCAAAGAAAGATCTGAAGTAAGAGTTAATCCTAGAAAATAAAGTGTAAATGACACATCAAGCACATTACCAATTATAAATCTAGGAAGATCTAGATTATCGTGATAACAATTAGCTGAAAAAAAGCTGAAAAAAGAGTTTCATCTGAGTTAAAGTTCACCAACCACTGAGAGCCCCATGCTGTAGCAGAAGTGAGATTTTTCAAGCTCAAATGGCCCCTCCAAACAATCAGTGAGTGTTGGCTTCTTATCAAGACAAGAATAAAGGTAGTATCATCAGTGAATAATGCCCCTTTAGATGTGAGAATTTTTAAGAGATCATTAATGTAAATTAAAAAAAAATATGGGGCCTAAGATAGAACCTTGAGGAACCCCTAAGGTTATATGATATGAAGAAGAGTGCAATCCATTGAGGGCAACTTTTATACTATAATTGGTAAGGAAAGATTCAATAATCTTAAAGTTGTTACTTAATACACCGTTGGAGGAGAGCTTATGAAAAAAAACAAATCAATATAATCGCCAAATCAGAAGCATTTATTACATTAAAAGACCATAAAAACAACTTTGATAATCAAAAACCTTTAAATCGCTATTAAATCCAGCAAAAAGTGAACTCAGCGTTGTCAGCAAAACATACCTAGACAAAATCAACAAGGAAATAAAAAAGAAATTAAAACTAAACCAATGGAAAAACACCGCTGAAGTAACCAAATGGTTTACAAACATAAGCAACAAGCAACACTGTATGTTTATACAACTTGACATCAATGAATTTTATACATCCATCACAAAAGACACACTAAACAACGCTTTAATATTTGTAAAACAACACACTGAAATCAGCAATGAAAAAATTGAGTTATAAATCATTATAGAAAATTGCTATTATTTTTAAAAATTAAACATGGATAAAAAAAGCATATAATGATCGTTTCGACATCATAATGGGATGTTTTGACGGAGCCGATGGCTTTATGCATTCTAGACTCTTTATCCAAAACCATTACAAAAAATGATATAGGTCTTTACCAAGAAGAAGGATTGATGGTAATGTGCAAAAAAACTACCGCACAGCTAGACAAAGTCAGAAAAAATGTAATTGAGATATTTAAAAACATCGGATTTCAAATAGAGATTCAAACCAATCTAAACAGTATTAATTTTCTTGATGTAACTTTTAACCTTCAAAAAACTCCTACCAACCTATTAAAAAATAAAATGACTAACTACTCTACATTCACACTGAATCAAACCACCCACCCCGAGTCCTTAAGCAGATCCCTCTCTCCATTAATGATCTACTATTGCAAAATCCTTCCGATGAAAAAATATATAACTCATCAAAAACAGAATACGAAGAAGCACTTAAACAAAACGGTTTTAAAAACTTTAAATTAAAGTACAACCC